TTTTGCCATCGTGTGCCAAAAGCGGGGGTAATGGGGGGGATTGCGCGTGCATGCGCCCACATCCATAATTGTGCTAGGCTATCGTTTATGGTTTTGAATTTATATTTGGTTGAGTTTACACAACAAATTAAGCCATCAACTATGGTTTAAAAACCATAATGTTTGAGCCAGACTATGTGCTAAATCATAAAGAAATCAGGTCAGGCTTCTGGATTATATGCAGTTTTATCCTGTTTTGTTTCAGCCTAATATTGCCTGATTGGTTGTGTTAGTGTAACATAACAACCTAGCCAGCGTTCTTGATTATATAACCTCTCCTTTGATTGGGACTGTAGCATCTGAATTTGGGGTTACAGCTCCTGAAACACACCAGGAGTTGAAAATCATGAAATTTATTGTCCAATCTAGTATTCTTTTTAAAAAAGAAAAATATACCTGGGAATGACATCATAATATAAGCTAATTTGTTGCCAGGCGTTTAACTGGCATTCCATAAAATGATTTTATGCTTTTCAACAACATTAATTATACCACAAAGATAAAGAGAAATATTTTGTCTCGTATTAATACGTTTATTTGAGGTTATTAATACACTTTCAGGTCTGACAGCTTTTATATGCAACACTTGACATTCACCAAATATTAGCCAGTGACATGTAATGAATATCTACTTCAAAGATGTTGCTTCTAGCTCCTTTCAAGTAAGGAAAGCTGTCCAGAATAGTTCAGTATGTGCAGTTCAAATGCCTGGGTGTCAAAATATAGGGAGGACAAGGCGCTACGTTTAACCTTTTTGTTTATTTAAGTTTCTTTTAGGCACCCTGGTGCCTAAAGGATTGACTTTTTCTAGGCCTAGAAAGGAGGGACAATTTGGGGTGGAAGCCTCCCACCCAATCTAGCATAGGAAAGCTTTCTGTTGCCAGGGGAGTGAGGAGAAAATTCACAAAACATCCTTTTAATGTGCTTTATGGTGTTTGTTCTGTTGCAAGAAAGCCAAGTCAAGGATAAGAAAGGTGATGGTATGTTCCAGGGATGCAAAAGCTGTGTGTACTTAAGAGGAGTGACACAAGCAGTTGTATTTCTTCTTTTCCTTCTCCTGAGAGCTAGAAGGAAAGTTTTCCTAAATAACCAAGCAGAGAAGAATTGTGCTCCCAGGAGAGGGAATGCTAGTGTGTGCACAGTTACTCCTCCTCCTCCTCCTCCTCCCTCCTCAGGCTTTCCAAAGGCTAGCTTCTGTCCTCTGACAGGAAGTACACAACGGATGTTTGATGAAAAGGCTACTGGTGCTTATCTGTCATTTGCAAGGGTGGGGTGTTTTTCTCTTTTCTCTCTCCCTCTCTCTTTTGAGCAGGGAGGGAGAGATCTACTCTGTGAGTATGTTTGCTCTGAAAGATACATGACCCAGCTCTTTTTCAGAATTATTGGTTTCCTCAGCTAAAGCTCATCCACATGATTCATCGAGCTGTCAGATAGTTTTGCCAAAGAAAGCCTCCTAAAATCATACCTCTTAGGGAATAACGCTGGTGAGGAAGGCCAGGCATGCACGTCACACAATCAGCCTGTTTTTGCATTTTACTGGAAGGAAGATATGTTGTCTCGAGATCAGTTGATGAGCCGACTTTCCTGTGAAGAAGAGGACTTCTCCCCAGCCTGCCTCCATCCTGTGAATTACCACCCCCGTAATTCCCAACCAGAACTCTCTGAAGCAGCTTTCGGTTCAGCTGTGCACAGGACTACAGAGTTCAACATTAAGCAAACAAATAGAAACCCCATTGTGAACTTATCCTGGTTTTAAAACCAATATTTCATATAAAATGGACTAAGCAACAAAAGAGTGTCTGCCATCTCCAGTCGCTGTCTGGCATTCTAGTGCCCCTCTTCTTATCAATGAACAGTTAAAGCTATTGTGGTAAAATGGATTTAAAATGGAGTGATTTAATTACATTTAAGAGATTCATTGGAGGAGATCTGAATTTTGGTTTCTGTTGAAGATACTACACAGCTGAAGTAGGAGGTGAAAGTCACCAAACTCTTTTCCCTAAATGATGCTTGTGTCAGCGCTGTCCTCAATAACCCTGTTATTAAGCTGGTTATTAAGACCAGCTGCCTGCAATTACTGCAGGTTCGAATCTCGCCAAGGCTCAAGGTTGACTCAGCCTTCCATCCTTTCTAAGGTAGGTAAATTGAGGACCCAGTTGTGGGGGCAATAAGCTGACTTTGTATAAATATACAAAAGGATGAAGGCTATTGCTGAGCATATTGTAAGCCGCCCTGAGTCTCCAGAGAAGGGCGGCATATAAATCAAATTAAAAAAAAAAATCTTTATTTGAGATAACATCGGAACCCGCAACCTGTAGAGCTTGCCTTTTTCTTTCTAGCATAGAGTGACAAATGCAACTCAGGGATCAGGAAATTGTGGATGTCACATTTATTAATAAGCCATACTTAATCTCAGAAGGAAATTGGTTGCTGTTGTTAGAAAGACTAAACACAAAAATTCAAATTTCTAAAATATAGTATGTGGATGTCTTCTTGAATGTATGTATGTTAGATCCATAGAAAGCAACTAGATATCCTAAGACAATCCTGAGAGGTGTTTTCTCTATGTGTGTCTTTTGCACTCTCTCTCTCTTTCTCTCTCTCTCTCCACCTACTCTGTGTGTGCATCAGGGGTGGATTCCACTTACCTTTACTACCGGTTCGCAGCGGGATCACACGCGTGCGAAGTTTCTGCACATGCGCAGATCACCCATGATGGTGGGTGGGTAGAGCCTCCCGTCGGTTTTACTACCGGTTCTATAGAACCGAACCGAACCGGGAGCAACCCACCACTGGTGTGCATGATCTATCCAGTTAGCTGCTTGATCTAGCTAGAATTAGGAGAGGTCCAGTTTCTTCCAGGTGATTACTCTTGTAGTACAGCGTGCCAGGAGAGGCAAGCATGATATAGCTGTAATCTGTAGGAATGCTATTTTCTTTACTTGGTTATTTGTGGAGGAACTGATTGATATTGAACTAACTGAATTGACCACCAGACCATAAAATGCATGTCACATGCTGAATTTAGTATTTTGTTCCAATCATGGACATGATCAGCTTTTTCCCTTGTAAAGGATGGATCACTAGCTGATTCAGGTTGACGCAGTGGCTGTAGAAGTAGTGATTTTATTCATATGCTTTGCCCATACAGGATTTTGGGTCCAACATTCTCCCAAAAGGAGCAGGTAACTGTAAAGTTGCACAGTTGCATATCATGTATATTTTAATACCATTTATTTATGAAATATATAAGGCCATCCAACATTATGATGATAATTTTCTAGTCAAGGGATAGGCTGACAGGCACCTACAGGTGTTCCTATTGTTTTCATTTAAAATATATATTCTCTTTTTTGAAATGAAGAGAAAGTGGTGCTTTCTCCCAAGTAAATACGTACAGCATCAAGCCAAAGAAGCAAATTGTATTTTATTTTTCTACTCATAGCTGATTTTAAAATGAAAAATTACATTTGTTCAAAGGGTATTATTTATTACTATTGTAATGGTTGCTGTTTTTTCAACATTGATAAGTGGGAGTGCTGATGAATTTTTATTAGTTTTGCTATCATAGCAAGCAAATACTATTAATAAATTCTAATTATAAGTTTAAGATACAAACCTAAACACACATAGTTAGAGGATTTATAAGGAAATGTTTGAATTTCTATCCTTCATTATACAATAATCTCTCTAATATATGTAACCCTGGATAACTTCCCATGTTTCAATAATATCAAAGAGAAAACATAATAAAGACACTTCTTCTCATGGGCTTTTTTTACACTGCAAATTAAGGACAGCCAAAAAGATTTCAGAATGATGGGCAAGTTGTGTAACCCTAGCTATTTGCATCTTCAGCCACCTTCAGCAATAAAATATGACACCACCAAGAGAAATTCAAAAGAAATTATCAGACATTGTGAAAACAAGGTAGAAAAGCAGAAGCCTCTTCTATAAAAAGAGATTTTGTGAAATTTAGATTTAAATGTAGCATTAGACAGGATGTTAGTCAATCCTCCACAACTTGTGACTACCTAAACCA